GGAAATCTCTATGTGGAGGAGAGCAGGGTTTCTGCAGCGGCAGCAAGTCTCCAGCCCCACACAAGGCAGACTGCTGAGAGACAGGAGAGGCACAGATGGCCCAACCTCTTTGATACAGAGGTAGGAAAACCAGCAGTTATCTCAGAGGACACAGGGAAGTAAGACAGATGGAGCCTTCCATGTCTCATCTTTATCTGTATAGAAATTAGGACATTACAGTATGGATGGGTGGACAGCTAGATGGGAAAAAATGGTTGGACTGTTAGGCTTAGAGAGTGGTTGTTAATAGGTCATTCTCTACCCGATGGCCAGTGACAGGTGAAGCATCACATAGGTCAAGTTTGCAGGTAACACCGAACTGGAAATGGTCAATATTCACAAGGGTAGGGCTGCCATCCAGAGGAACCTGGATAGGCTGGAGGAATATGCCAGCAGGACCCCCATGAAATTGAAAAAGCACAAATGCAAAGTCCCATGTCTGACTCTGGCAATGACATGGACTGGGGAGCAGTTCAGCAGAAAAGGCCTTGGAGGTCTTGGTAGACAGCAAGCTGGATTAGAGCCACAGGGACAGTGACTTTTGCAAGAGTAGAGGGTATCTCCTTCCCTCTCACACACTTGTTAATGAAGACCCCATCAAACCATTTCTCATCAGCTCAATGTCAAACCCCAGCATGACACAGGAAGCCGGTTTCACATGGCCTGTCTACAACACCAGGTGTGGATCATCATTCTGATGAAGTTCAGCTTGCAAAGGTAAATGATTTCATTTCCAAGTCAAATCATGTCATTTGCATGCTCAGAGAGGGTCACAGTCATTCACAGAATTTCATTCACAGAAAGGTCTTCTCATTTGCAATCACTCTGTCAATCTGGCATTAAGGAAAAGGAAAAGAGAAACCCAAAATACTGCAGTTGAACAGCAACTAGCACTTAATGCTTTTGTAAAAACCACAAGAAACTGTAGACAGGCTGACCTGGAGGACTTTGAGCTACCAATAGTCCCATGCAAGAAAAAGACTGAAGTAGTGAGGGTGGGTAACCTTATCACAATATTAAAAAAGCACCTCTTGAAGAACAAGACTAGAGACAAGTCTTCACCCTCCTAAGAGACAAAACATTGCCTAATGTTGCCATCCTGAATTTAAACTTACAAATACAGGATTTCAGCTCCCTGGGATCCAGCACAAATCACCAGTGGGAGGGAGGACACCATTGACTGACTCAGCCACCATTCACCATGTTTGCAAAACTGCCCACCCATGCACCTGTCCACATGTTCCAGTCCTCCACTGGGTACCTTCCTGTTGTTTAAATAGGATGGTGGGTTCACCACACCAACAACAGCAACTGCTGGTTTTCACAGTCCCGGCTTGAGTGCCTGTCCTTCCCATTGCAGGCTCCCAACCCACGGCATGCTCCAGTGGCCAACATCTCAAGCCCAGTCAGTGAGCACCTCAGGGCACATGGGAGGTTTGAGACACAACTAGTGCTTTGGCAGCACTTTGTTTCTGATCAATGATACTGCTAAAGCAGCTGGAAGGAAAAAACAAACAAACAAACCACTGCAACTTTCTTTTCATCCAGTGCATTCTGAGTACACAATATCCTACCTGAAAAATGATGTCTTCATCCTTCTGTGAGCAGAACGTATTTGGATGAGGTGGGGGAGCTTTGGGACAGACTGCATCTGCACAGGGGACTCTTAGACAATTTGTGGATGAAAAGCCAAGCTAAGAGCAATTGAAGACAGATGTAGGTACAAACCTGGCTCAGGAAAACAGAGATGCAGATTACCAGAAGCTGGGAAGATACTCTGGGAAAACTCTCACCCTAAACCCACCCTGCTCTTGCACTCCTCCCTGAAGCCTGTTACCAGCCACAAAGAGGTGAGACTGCTCCCAGCACTCCTGCCCCACCACACAGGCCATGCCCTGCACTCCACAAGTGGGGGTCAGGCCCCTTTGCAGCAGGAGGAACTCAACGCAGCAAGAGGTGGCATGCCACCCCAAGCAATGAGCATGCTGATTTGCCTTAGGGAAGATAACCAAGCAGATTACAACTTCTAAACCCTCTAAATTACTCACTGCTATCTCAAGTCATCTCAGGCCACTGACACCAAGCTATCTGATTAACAGTAGCAATCAAATTAACAGGTATGTGCAGTAAACCGACTAAATAGCCATGCAGCAGCGAAAGTATTTATGTGAGCTCCCAGCAGCCACAGAATGGCAGGGTAGCGCATGCTCCCTTGTTCAGGCTCAGCTCTCCTCTGCCGTGCTGAAACTCCATCGTAGAAAGGCAGCATCTCACTACCACGCAAAGACAACAGTGAGAAAGCACCAGACTTTGCAGCGGACAATGACTTAATGACATGCTGAAGTCTCAAGCAAGCAATCCAAGCAGGGAGTCAGAGAGTTTCTCTTTGAAAGCTGGGAATTGAAGGGAGCACATCACACTAATATCAAATTCTGGTTTAGATTTGCTAATAAACAGATTGAATTACCAACCACAGTTTTCATTCTCTGGAACAGAAACTTCCAATTAGTCGCACTACTTCAAAAACGAAGAGACAAACACTGTTTTTTTCTCATTAAGACCCACTAGGACTCTGCAGGACGCGAGCAAAATCAGAGCAGGAACCATTTGCCTCCCTCCACCACCTGCTACACCACCCCATGTCCTGCAAATGCCCAAAACAAAAAGATTGCCCTTTCTCCATCTCTTGATTCCAAAAGTTCAGCTCATCTCAAAAAGGAGACAGCAGTTTCCTGCAAGAAGCCCTTCCCTGGAAATAAATATTTTTACATTAAATCAGAGAGCAGTCAGATGGGACTATCCTCAATCCCCAGAGCAAAGCTCCCCAGAGAGCAGCAGTCTCTGAGCAAAGTAGACCTTACTGTATTAAGCCCTTTCACAACCCACCTCCTGAGGCAGGAGATAATACGGAGCAGACAGAGGAAGGTCTGAGCTAAGGTGGATTCATGGAGAACAGGGCTGCCCACCAAGGGCTGAGCTCAGGCATCCTTCAGCATTTGCTGTGGTTAGCAAGTCACACCAGTCACTCAGAGCAAAACTATGGTGGCACTCGTGCTTGTGTGCATGAGCGCCACACCAGAGCCAGTCACCCCGCACTGCCCAGGCCACCACGGAGGGGAGGACAAGCCGCACCTTCTCCGCAGACAAGTACCCACACTTTGTCACACATATGACACTCCCAGCTACGGAGTCATAGCTCCACCAGCTATGACCAGACAGCCACCACTTAATATGTGGATTAATTGCATAGCATAAATCTCAAGCTCCTGCACATGACAAAATACCAGCTTATAAGGGTGCTCAATTTGACCTTTAAGGCCCTTTTTCCTCTCAGCATCCAAGCCAACACGTAGCACAGCTTGTAAGGAACATGGTCTCAGCCTTAATAAAGAAATTACTTTTAAACAAGACTATAAGCTATGTATTCATTTCCTGAAACTACATAAGCGTTTTCAGTTCCTCACACCGTACACACAAGTGATTCATAGCTGATTATTTCTGCACGGCTGCCTGATTCCTATATACAATCATGGTAACTACACACGTGAGTTCTGTGTACTCTTTTTAGGACAAATTTTAATTTGCATTAAAATATACTTAAAATTTAAATGAAATATCCTCATGCAGAACAGAGCACCATTGCAGCAGCTTGTGGCAGGGGATTCAGGGAGAACCACAGCCAGTTCTCCGTGTCTGCCAGCGAGCGGTCAGGTTAGGTCAGAGGGCACTTCGGCTCCCAGTGTACTCACGACACAAATGCTGCACAGGAATTTGGTGCCTTTTCAGTAAAGTTAGTCCCTCAGGACACACAAGGCTCACTAGACATACCCACTTCTGCATGGGAGGCAACGCTGGTGCAGCACAACCCAGTGTAGCAGATTTCCAGCACATGCAGAGCATCTGCCCAGAAATTCCCTGCCTGACTCCCCCAGGATGTGCTGCTGCTCCAATGGCAGCCGCAGTCACACATGTGCAACGAGAGAGATTGTGTGTATAACAAGGCTTCTTTCTCACAGGGGCCACACACGACGTTCGCAGGGACTGAATGACATCATCGTGGTCACACTTAAGACTCTGTGGCATAAAGCTGCTATAAACAACATTGAAGGAGAAGCAAGAAAAAGCATTTCTAAAGGACTAATAATTAGCGAGCTCATCTGCAGCCACTCGAGCTGGTATACGAGTAATACATTGACAGACACTCTCTGCTCTCAAGGGACACCTGAAGATTAGTATTAGCCGGTCATTGAGTCACAACATTTCTGAAAGGTCCTCAGGCAAATGACTGTGCTTCAATAAGAGCACAGACAGAATGGCTATTCCAAGTTCAAAAACTTTAAAAAAAGAAGGGCAAAGCAGACCTTGGATGGGAACAGACCTCCTACATCACAGACTACAGCCTGCAGACCGTCACTTCCCACGATTTGCAAACTTATGGAAAGAGTCACACTGCAAGATGACCGAGTTTCCCTTTTCCACCTGTGTTATCCAGCGTATTTACTAGAAAGCTATTCCAGAGTTTCACTCCTCTTGTGGCTAGAGGTCTTCTGACTTCCAGTTTAAGTTTATTAACAGCAAGTTTAGGTGCATTCATTTCTGTGGCAACACCATCCTTTATTTCTAAGGATTCTGCTCCTTTTCTAATATTTACTGCAACATTTCTACAGACAGCAGTAACTTCTCCTTTCCACCTCCATTACACATGACCAGACGAGCCAAGATCTTTCAGTCTCCCACCATAAGATACCACCTTCACAGCCCTTTCCACATGTACCAGACGTTCTCTTTCCTCCCTCCTCCTCCAGCAATTAAGCTGGTGTCAGAATAGACATCTTGAATCAACAGTTTTGTTCCAGTAAGCTTTACCCCACATGTGCCCAAGACATGCTGCAGAGGCTGCCCTCATCAGGGGCCATGAGGAGCTCTGTGGGAAGAATGGGGCCCAGAGCTCGCTGCCTCACCTGGAACGCTGTCTGGCTGTTGTAGTTGCGAATCTCTTTGCTCGCACCGCGGAAGAGGAGAACCCGAGCGCAGCTCTCCTGTGAAAGCAAGCAAGAGGGAAAGGGGAAGAGACCAATTAACACTACAGACTGGTAACAACAAAAAAGCAAACCAGATGGTTTCATCGCACTTAGAAAGCCTCCTTTGGCAAGAGCAAGGAATGATGCTCAACCCCTACGAACTGGTCACCCCCAACCCCAAGCTGACCAAGTCCTCCCACCTGTATGCAGCTCTGGGGCACTGGTACCATGGCCATGCCCAAACATCATCCCAAGAGCACAGCTACAGGCACACTGGCCACCACACATTCCCAGGTATTGTTATTTCCTAAAGCCTTCTATTGTTTCTGTTTCGAAAACTCTGTGCTTCTAAATGATGTTAGTTCAACATGCTTATGAGCACCTGTACTCTTTAATGCCACTCTGCCCACCAACCCCAGTGGACAGGCACCTGGGTAGAAGAGTTCTTGATGTGCAGAATGCCCCTACCACCTAACAAGCCACAAATCACCCTCCACATACCACTGTCTATGGTAAAATGTAACAGTGTTGAATTTTTAAAGCATGGACACCTCAGAAACTGAAAATTCCCTTTATAATCAAAAACCACATAATACAATGTATAAAAATCTTTAGGAAGGAACAAAACCTACAGGAGAAATACTTAAGATACTGACCTCCACATCTCAGAAAGAGAAGAGTGGTGTATAAAATCAGAGAGGACTCTTCCACCACCCTCAATTTCTCCTCAACTGAGGTTAGTAACCACACAGAAAATAAAACAGAAATGGTGCCCTATGCTGCCTGGACAGTCTTCTTCAAAATTCAGAGATTAGTAGTAAAAATTTAGGGCTATTTGTGAGAAGGACAGGACCCCAGTCCACATACCTTGCCCAGAGCTGGGTAAAAACCACAGGATGTGCCCAACAAGTCCTGCCTGGGGCACATGCTGGCCTCAAATTAAATGAGAGCACCTGGGCCAAATTAGCACTCTCCACCCAGGCAAACTGCTCCCTCCCAACCAGTAATGGGGGCTTGCTGTGAAGTAGGAATAGGAACCAGAGGAAAAATTACAGAAAATGTTAGGCAGTAAATCAGTAAAAACATCTTGGGAACGGGAACGGATTAAACCATGGACTCTTCTCTGGCCACCTGCCTCTTGAGAAATCCAACATCAGGCTGGTGCTACAAACAGAAACAGCCTCATCCCAGGACAGAGTGTGGATACAATTCAGAAGAACTTTTCTGGGTCTGGGAACAGTAATAGCAATGAGAAGGTGCCTCAGCCCAATATTGTGCTCTCTCTATCTCAGGCAGGCTGGTGCCCCATCTACAATTTCTTGTTCTCATGCCCCAAATCACACAGATGTACCTGGTTATAGAGAGCACAAATATGAAGAGCGGTGTTTCCTGAGGCATTCTGTGCAGTCATATCAGCTCCATAGAAGAGAAGATGCTCCAGGTGCTGAACATGGCCATAGCGACATGCCTGCACGAAATGCAAAATGGAAAAAAGAAATAGAAAATCAATGAGCAGCAGGAAGATGATAAATTCCATAACATCCTCTGCTGGATTCATCCACGCTAGAAAAGTTGAATCAGACTGGACCTGTAACCTGAAAAGTCCCATTAACATGCACGCAGACACACTGCTGCTCCTTACAGCAATATACACCTGAATACTTATTGGACGAATTACCTCTAGATCAATTGCAAATTTTGGATCAGCATCATACTGGTACCAGGGCCTCCTCCAGACTGCTATCTCAGTATAATTACCCAGTGAAAAGAAGCCCTGAAGCACAAGCAGGCAAAGAGGAGGACAACGGCCCCACATCTCTAGTTAACTGGTGTGGTATTTTCCTCTACATTTTGTCCATCCTCTACGTTTTGTCCATCCTGGGACCAGCAGTCCTCAAAGATCTGTCAAGGCAATGTAGGATGGAGGTAGGAAGGAGGACAGTCATAACCAGTAAATCGAGATCACAAACGCACGTCTCTTGTTTTTTCATTCTCATCCTTAGCTGTGCCAGTACTCGCCCACCTTGCAGGGGGCTGACAGCTGGGTGCTTCAGGAGGCCACGGGCCCAAAGACAACCTGCCCTCCCAATGGTCCAAGACAAGGGGACTCTAGGCAGAGCTAGTGCATTCTCCCTTCTCCCAAAGGGTCTCGGTCTTGAAGCACAAAGCCAGCTCAGGTCCCCTAACCCCTAGTCCATGTCTTCCCTACACCAAATCCATTTGTCAATGTGTAAACCTGGGACACATACAACTGTGGTTTGGAACCAGGATGCCTCAGGCATTGGACTGAGATCCCAAAGCACTATCCTATGAGCCAGTGATAATCTGGGGAGGATCCCAGACACTACTGACCAAGGCCAGAAGAAAACAGCCTGAGCATTGGCCTGGGATGGGAGCCAGAGCTGGCACACCATGTGCAAGTCCTCCACACAGGAGCCTGACCCCTGGTGTCAGCCACCCCTGCTGAGCAGTGCCTCCACTGCCTGCAGCACCCAAGGGGATGGGATGACCCCTCTATCAGCAGCAGGACAGCCGTCACCCCGGCCGGATCCCATCCCGCTGTCCATCCCACCTGGTGGATCTCCTGCCAGCCATTCTCGTCCACACAGCCGAGACGGGCGTAGTCGTGCAGCAGGAGCTCGCAGCAATAGGGATCCCCTCCTACCATGGCACTGTGGTACAGGGGCGTCAACCCCCGGCTGTCCTTGTAGTCTGGGGAGGCACCCAGGTCCAGCAGTGTCTGCAAGAGAAGCACCTGCCTCACTATGTGGCTTCAGGCAGCCACGCAGTAGGAAAACATGCTCCACAGAGGGTCCAGGGATGCTGCAGCCACGGCAGCAGGCAGTGCTCACCCCATCTTCCCCCCAAGGCTCATGTTATCAGTGCCATGCTTTTGTAATGGGCTGTGCTCCCCGACAGCAACGTGAGAGATGCTTTGGCCTAGGGAGGGCACAACCCTGCTGGCAGCCTGGACGGGGTGGGAGGAGGAGCTGGTGCTGGGGCGCAGGGCAGAGGGGAGGGGGAGTGCCCCACAGCAGCTCCCCCAACTCACCAGCAGCGCTGCGTGGTTGCGGCACCGGACAGCCTTGTGAAGAGCTGTCATTCCTTCCCGCGTCCGGAAATCCAGGTGTGCTCCCCCATTGCGCAGTGCCTTGATCATCTCGGCGCTGAGCTCCAGCTGAGCGGCCGCGGTCAGGGGACACTCTGCAGAGCCCCGGGAGAGAGATGGGTGAGAACCGTGGGGGCGCCCACCCCCTCAGTGGGCACCGTGGCACCACCGGCCTCTCACTCGGCACGTCTCCTGCCTGGGCTCCAGCAACGCAGGGTGCTCCCCGCTCCCCTCCCCCCATGTCCACTCCCAGCCCCACTCAGACACCGGCAGTATTCCCAAACACCATGCATGCACAGTCTGAGCGAGCTACAGGCTGTCCATCCATTCCTTTTGGGTGCGGATGAGAGCCCCGCAGAGGAGAGGGAGGAGGAAAGCGCTGGAAGTTTAATGAATGGCAGAAATGCCATTGTTGGCTCTTACGCTGCAGGAAAGCACACATCTGGACACATCATTTATACAAAGGGGAGAAGAAGGGGGTGAAAATTGGTATCCTTGTTCAGTTTCTCCCTGCAGCAAGGCATGGAGAAGGGGCTGCTGTTTCGGTGGGAGGCACAGCTATGCACCCCAGCCCCACCACCAGCATCCACAGAGCTGTCCTGAGCTCCTGCACACACAGCTGTCCTGCAGCCGGTCCTCATCGCCTCACACCACCAGCAGCAAGCTCCAAACGTGAAACACTCACCCCAAACAGGAGGAAGGCCCCTGCATCTGTGCAACCCCCACCTCACCTCTGAGGAGCCTGGCTTGTCACACAGCAGAGTCTGCACAAACTTGCCAGCTGGTTCAGTCTTAGCTCTGACCAGGATCAGTCCCAACTCCCAGGACTGCCCAGCACATAGGACTTGCTCCACTTAGGGATATAGTTTGAGCAGGCAACAGAACTACAGAAATCCCCTTCAACAGTCCTCCCTCACCAAGTGCACCCCCACCGGCCTCCAGCCACCCTCTGTTTTTGTTTTGCGGGTGGGAACAGGAGCCCTGATGCACATCTGTTGCTCTCCATCAGTGCGTGCAGCTCCTAAATGCAGAAAGGCACCTCTGTGCTGGATGGGCAAAGTCTTTTCCAACAGGAGCTGCTACACGCTTCCCTCAATGACCAGACTTCAGCATCCAACTGTCGGCCAAATGCTACCTTGACAGGTTGCAAACTAGTTGCCTGCCTGCAGATCCCCACTGCAGTCCTCGCATGGACAAGTGTGGAGGACCCCTCCTTGGGTGGGGGCCACGGTGTTGATACAGGATGGGGGTTTCTGTCCTACCCTGATGGTGTTAGGGAGATCTGAGCTGCAAAAGGACCGTGCTCGCCTATCCACAGGTTGATTTGATAGCACAAAGAAGGAAGAAAAATGTCCTTTGACATAAAATGAGTAAAGTCTCCTTAAGAGACAGAATGTTTTTCTGAACATTTTGATTATAATTAAATAAATTTGTTTTCTTCAGAGTGCAATATTAAAAAACAAAAAAAGTACGTTTTCTTTCTCAAACAAATCCCTAGGTCTTTCCATCCAAATCCCCCATACCACAAATGGAGCAATGTGAACGCTAGCTGAAATAAGATGACATCAGCTAGAAATACAGTTGTGTATTTTTTAGAAAGGTACCTAATTTGCACATAAATTAAAATCTCTCCATTTACTAGAAATAACTATTTAAATGAGAATAATAAAATGGTTTGAGATACAAATAAAAAAGAATAAGAATATTAATTTTAGAGCATTTCTATTAGTCAAATTTTTAAACAAGACAGGTAGAGGTCAGACGACATTCTGTGGATTTGCTAAAATCCTCTGGGTTTTGTGCTACAAGACACCAATATAAAAAGTGAACATTACTGAAGACTGTTGTCAACAGGATTAAAGATGGGTTCACCAATAAGAGGAATCACCAGTAAATGAGAATATTACAGCTGGGTCTTCTAAGGACCTGTCCTCAGCTCAAAACTGTCAATCATTTTTAACAACAATTTGGAAAAAAATAGGAAGTAATCTCTAAGAAATTTCACACACACACACACACAATGTTGTTATATATGGCAAAGTCAATGGTACAACGAGTAAAATGGTTTCATGCATTCATTGCCCAATGTCAAACTTTAGCAGAGGACAGGTGCAATGCTTTATAGCTAGAAAGTAAGGGATGCATTTTAAGCATGAAGGTAATTAGCATTGTAACAATGTATGTATTACATGGGAATGTAATGGTGTCCGCATGAGTAGCAATGTCACCCAAGAAAAAGCTGTGGAAATATTTCCTTAGCTCAGCAATAGCTGTGAAGATAAGGGTTTGGTGGAGAGTTATTGGTAACGGCCTGCAACCCTTCTCACACTGGGTGCAGCCACTGGGAGAGAACAGTGCCAGATGCAGCACAAGAAATGGTGGAAAACGCCACCACTTGTCACGACTAACAGACAGATGCGCTGCTGACATGGTGCCGGGGGAGGTTCTCGGAAGACCTCAGTGGAGTCCACAGAGACATCGCTGTGGTTTCTGTGGTTCAGAAGAGCTGGGCGGATGTGGTGGAAGCACAGTTCACTCTTCCACCGAAGTAGGATGGGGATGGGAAGTCCTGATTCACACACCCACCGCATACCAAGAGAGATGAAGAGCGGGTGACCGTGGGTGAGCTCCTGGGGCAGGAGAGCCTTTCTCCTCCTCTCCACCAACACCAGAAATACCTGCTGTGCAGCTCCCCAGCTCTCATACCCCAGCTCTTTAGCTAGGGCCACTGCCAGCCGAAGGCAAAGGGAAGCTAGAGAGGAGAGTCTAGTGAAGTTTAGGTCTTTTAAGGACCATCACTTATCTTCTGTGCCAAATACCATTGCTTTAATTTCTGTTGTTATCACTGACTTTCAGTTACTGCTTTTTCACCATAATTTCTATAAAATCTCTTCCTTATTTATAGTTATTTTTAACTATTTTGAGAGCACATATTTGGCCCTTGCAGTGTGATAAGAACTCAGACTGCTACAAACTTCAGGTTGTGCATATGAACTGAAGTATCCTCATCAGTCCCTGCGCCAGGCATCTACTTCCATTTCCACATGCAGTTAAATCATCAGTCTTTTTTCAATATCTCAGTTTAAATGAGACAAACTTTTCAAAGAGGCAAAAGACACAGAAAACAAGGCTTCAAATCTTCCTTTAGTCTCAGTTATTAATATGCCAAATTCAATTGAATAATCTATCATGTTATCTTGAATCCCGAAGACTGAGAAAGGTCCAAATAGGGCATTTCACTGAATGAACTGCAGCTAGCAATTTGTTCACTAAATCTAATCTAATCACTATCTAATCTAGGATTTTAGTGATTACACTCTGCTAATTCTTGGAAACGTGTGTATCCAAATATATGCTTAAAGTAATTAACTAATAAGTGCACAAGATCCGTTGCAGCAAACGAGAACCAGCAAGACAACGCATTGCACGTTGCACAGCATAAGAAACTGATTAATGGACATAAGAAGGAGCTGCAGGTTGGACTCTGCCTGTGGGTTGTCAGGCAGCCGAGCTCCACAGTGTGGGTTTGACACCAGTGCTCCCTCTGACACTCACTGAACGTCTCAAATGGGAAGAGCTTGCAAGGCAAAGCCAGCACCCAGCTGCGCATGGTGGCTGCTCTAACGCACCTGATCCCTGACGGGGGTGAGAATAAATTCTGCAGCCAAAATCTGCAACAGTAAATTCAGGCCAGCAGATGAGAGCTGTACTTGGGAGCACCACTGGTGCTCAGGGCAACAGGAGCCTGGGGAAGGAGCAGGTGACATGGTCCGGGTCTAAAAAGCTGCTCGTGGGACTGTTCCTTTAATCAGTGGATTGTAGGGAAGCAGAGGTGGAGACTGAAACAGTTTCTCGGAGGATTTCCTTGTGCAAAGGGCACCCTTGCAATCCAGCAGCCTGACTGGCGAGAGCAGCACAGGACTGGGGCATCGCGCCAAGAGCACTCTGCTCTAGCAGCTGGAGCACAAAGCAGGTACAGTTCCAGGAAAGCTTGCAGGAGTTCATTTCTACTCCTCTTAACGGAGTGTCTTGTAACTATGTTTTCTCTTCATTCTGCTAAAAGAATCTTAGGACAAAAAGCATCACTAATGTTTTAATTGCAAACAAGGTATTCTGGCAACCCTCAGGCTGGTCACTTCTGTAAAAGCAATGAATCCAAACAAGGCTGTGTTGTGGAATAGGAAATCTGAGCTCTTGTACCCAGAACTGGACCGAGATCCCCTGTTCTGGCCAACCGCAGCCGTCTCGGCTTCAAATCAGGTGTTATCCACACACCCCCCAGAAGTCGGCAGCAAAAAGACAATTTGAGAGTACAGTCATGGTGTCACATGATGTGGATGCTCCTCTATAGCCTCGTAGAAGAAACAAACTGTGGAGGCTCCTCACATTCAGAGGGTGTCATGAGAACTGGAATTCACGTGGCAAGGCAAAGGCAGTGAGGGAAGGTGAGAAACCCCAGAGAGTGCTCCAACATGAGCAGGAACAACCTCTCCACTCTAATACCAGAAGGCTGTGTTGTGGAATAGGAAATCTGAGCTCTTGTACCCAGAACTGGACCGAGATCCCCTGTTCTGCACAACCGCAGCCGTCTCGGCTTCAAATCAGGTGTTATCCACACCCCCCAGAAGTCGGCAGCAAAAAGACAATTTGAGAGTACAGTCATGGTGTCACATGATGGATGCTCCTCTCTATAGCCTCGTAGAAGAAACAAACTGTGGAGGCTCCTCACATTCAGAGGGTGTCATGAGAACTGGAATTCACGTGGCAAGGCAAAGGCAGTGAGGGAAGGTGAGAAACCCCAGAGAGTGCTCCAACATGAGCAGGAACAACCTCTCCACTCTAATACCAGAATTTAAAAGAAAAAAAAAAATTAAAAAAAAAAATCTGTGTTACTCCAGGACTTAGTTTATCATTTAGGAAAAGGGAGGATCTCTGTTCAAGTTGAGATGACAACAGGCTTGATATGAAAGTTTTCATGCAAGCTACTGGAGAGGAGGGTTACTGTCTACACAGTGTTCCTTTACAGACCTATAGTACACAATAACAGAAAA